CTTCAGCAGCTGTGGTTGGGGCGTATATTTGGATCACTGTAATGTTGAAAGGCTTTCCTTGCACTCGAATTTCATTTCCTTGCACTCTGTCATTTTTTGGGTTGTATCCAAGCACCGCTTTAGCGAATTTCTTATTAATTATGAAGGCTACTCCATTTCTTCGATGTTCCTCTTGTCCGCAGTAGTAGATCTGGTGGTCATCTGATGTGAAGTGGCCCATTCCAGTCCACTTCAGTTCGCTGACCCCCAGAATGTCTATCTTTAGTCTTGACATCTCGCCAATAACAACATCCAATTTGCCCTGGCTCATAGATCTTACATTCCAGGTTCCTATGGTGTGTTGATCTTTAGAGCATCGGATTCGTCGTTCACCTCCAGTACCGTCGGCCGCTAGCCTTCCTTTCGGCTTTGAGCTAGCTGCGTCATCACATCTGGGGCTAGTTGAACTTATCCTCTGCTCCTCCCCAGTACCATTTTGGCCATCTTTTAAACATTAAAAAAAACCAAGATTATGGCAACCAGACTGATTGATAACTGGCAAATAAAGGGCGAAAACGTGGAAGCCATGACAGACTTATATTTCTAGGTGCAAAGATTACTGCAGATGCAGACTGCAGCCAGGAAATCAGATGACGCTTACTTCTTGGGAGGAGAGCAATGTGCATGTTCTTTCAAGTCACCTATTGGCTTATGGTGGCCCCATGATTTTTATAGGGTTTTCTTAGGAAAGAAATACTCGGAGGTGATTTTGCCAAGTCCTCCTTCTGAAATAAGGTCTACGACTCCCATCTACTACTGTATACTATCTAGGACTGCTCGTGCTTGTCTTTCAAGATGAGGCAGAATATGGTACCTTTAGGGCAGTGGTTTTCAACCTGTGGGTTAGCAAATGTTTTGGCCTTCAATTCTCAGAAATCCTAACAGCTGCTAAACTGGTTGGGATTTCTGGGAGTTGTAGGCCAAAGAACTTGGGGACCTACAGGTTGAGAACCACTGCTTTAGGGCGTTTAAGCCCTGAACTAGCCTTACTATAAATGCTTCCAGGTGAAACCAGTATCTTTGGCAAGACAACAGTAAATACTGACTTTGTTTTCTTTACTTTTATTTATCGTGTCATCAGCAACCATTGTATTACAATTCTAACAGAGCAAAACAAACACAGAGATTAAA